AACAATAACTAATAATAAAATAGGACGTGCTTATTAACTTTTCACAGTCTTCTTAGAATCAGTCTGCTTTTCACTACTTCTAGTGGAAAGTAGAAATCTTACCCCCAAGCAGGTTTGCCTTCCCCTTTCATGTTATAGTTGTTTTATATCTACATAATTTATACATTTGTATATTTTAGGTTGGTGCAAAAGTAATTGTGGTTTTGGACCATGAATTTTAAATCATTATAACTAGGCTCAAACATATCTTTATTAATCAAAATAGGAACCATTACAATCAACACATTTTTGCCAACGAGAAATAAGTTTGTTTATTCCTATAGTGTAAAAATCTGTGCTTCGGGATTCGATGAACTCTTGGAAAGCATTTTCTACATCCTGCTGGTTGTAGAAGTGTTTTCCCTGCAAAAAGTTGTCGAGATGCTTGAAGAAGTGGTACTCGGTTGGCAAGAGGTCAGGTGAATATGGCAGATGAGGCAAAACTTCGTAGCCCAATTCCTTCAACTTCTGAAGCCTTGGTTGTGTGACATGCAGTCCGGCTTTGTTGTGGAGAAGAATTGGGCCCTTTCTGTTGACCAGTGCTGGCTGCAGGCGTTGCAGTTTTCGGTGCCTCTCATCGATTTGCTGGGCATACTTCTCAGGTGGAATGGTTTTGCCGGGATTCAGAAAGCTATAGTGGATCAGACCGGCAGCAGACCACCAAACAGTGACCGTGACCTTTTTTTGGTGCAAGTTTGGCTTTGGGAAGTGCTTTGGAGCTGCTTCTTGGTCCAGCCACTGAGCTGGTCGCTGCCGGTTGCCGTATAAAATCCACTTTTCACTGCACATCACAGTCTGATCCAGAAATGGATCACTGCTGCGTACAGTCAGAGATGACCCTTCAAAATGACAATTTTTTTGATTTTCGGTCAGTGTATGAGGCACCCATTTATCGAGCTTTTTCACCTTTCCAATTTGCTTCAAATGCCCAACGACCATAGAATGGTTGATGTTGAGGTCTTCAGCAACTTTTCGTGTAGTTGTAAGAGGATCAGCTTTGATGATTGCTCTCAACTGGTCGTTGTCAACTTCAGATGGCTCCTTGGAGCCTTGCGCTCCTCCTCTTCAAGGCTCTCATGTCCTTTGCAAAACTTCTTGAACCACCACTGCACTGTACATTCGTTAGCAGTTCTGGACCAAATGCATTGTTGATATTGAGAGTTGTCTCTACTGCTTTATGACCCATTTTGAACTCGAATAAGAAAATCACTTGAATTTGCTTTTTGTCTAACATCATTTCCATAGTCTAAAATAAATATAAAATAAACAGCAAGTAAAAAG